TGCCCACATTACCTTCAAGGGTAATTACGCGCCAGATTAAGCCGCGCATGATTTCTGGGCCAGAGACTCAATGGGTCATTTTAGTTTTTGAGCAGTTTTCCTTTCTCCTTCTTTCGTTCCTCATTCTCTTTCTTTCTTCCTTGTTCTGCTCATACCTATGCAATCTGCATTTGAAAAGCTTCCGTCCTAACGATTGGGCTTGAACACATTGAAGTACACTCTGTCTTGGATCCAGGAGAAAGATTGGTCGTGATTGCGTACTTTGTGAAGCGCGTGGCAATAGCTCTGGAAAAATTGGTAGTTTTGCCAACGAAATGATTCACTGAACGCATTTGGAACCTAATGACATGCAACTAATGAAACTGAAGCCTGACGAAAACCAGTAATACTAGTAAGGAGCAGAAGTCATTTCTCAATTACGACCCCTCTCGACGTGATGTACGAAGCGCCCACTGCTACAGGGATGGGGATTGACTGGATATGACTACATCTGAGTCATTCCCGTGTGGGGATATTGGGAAGAGTGACGGCTCTTCACATCTCCAATGGTGCCAATGTTAACCTCTACAGACGTGAATAACCTTTGGGTCAACTGGAAGACTCCCCGTACAAAACTGGAATTCCTGACATGGGAAAGAGGCCTTTCTCCTGGAGCTTAAAGAGGGAAGGAACAGCTGGGTTACTGAACCAAATAAAGTGATGGTACCCCTATTAGAATGACGTTATTCCCTTTTTTTGAATAGGGGCTCCTTCAAATGTCTCCAAGGCGCAGTTCGGTTAAGAGCAGGTATTTTGTTGGTCCCGACGCCTCCTGTCAAGACCCTGCAAATCCTTGTAAAGCTGTGAAATAGCATCATCCTTCCCACATTAGGTATGTACATACGTCTCAGGATATCTGTCAACCGCGTAATCTGCCTTTTTCTTTCTTTGTTTCTTCCTCTTTCCTAAATTTATTCATACATTCATTCCCTCTTTTCCATCACTTATTCTACTCCCTCCAAATGCTGAAAATGCAACGAGAAAATGCCTCTGAACCCTTCCAGCGAGAGAACATCCCTTTGACAGGTGCCCTGTCACTCATTTGGTGAGAGTCTACACATCCCAACAAGGTGAGACATATAAGTTAGTGGAAACTACGAAAAAGGACTGAGAAAAGGTTTACCCCTAAGCTGGATAGCCCTTTCAAAGGTCATTCTCTCTGCACCCCTCGAAGGTCTTGGGAGCTCTGATAGAGGGATGAGCCCGCTATTGGTTCCTCTTTCACATATACTCCATATCACGGAGATGAAGGGGAGTGGCTGCGTGTTCGCTCGAGTGAGGCGGTGACTGTGCTCCTGACGCGATTCTTCCGTTTTGAGACTTTTGTCTGTCCATCTCGTGGATATGGATACGTTAGATACCTAGAGGGCAGTGCCTCAATCATGGACTGTCGCAGTAGCATTGAGTCTACCTAACACTAACTGGCAAAAAAAATCAGCGAAAATAAATTTTCACCTCTATTCTTCTCATTCTCCATCTAATTGTCACTTACGTCGCCCAGGGTGTGACCGTCCTTTCATACTGATATTTTACCATGTAATCAAGAGTCTGACTGCAAGGTGTCTTGTATGACCAAATGACCCCCTACAGGGTCAAATGCAGAAGCAGAAAGCATCTTGCAAATGTTTTGAAATGTCTACTACATCACCTGACTAGCCTCCTCGATTATATTGTCAATTTTCTTGAAAATATTCTAAACGGGGGTTACGTCATCTTTCACATCAACAACAACGTCAAATAACTGCTCATCGCAAAATGTAGACGGTGCTTTTCGATCGCCATGTTGATTGCACAACGTTTTCTTTATTTCTCAGAACGAATCTCCTTTCAATTTTTCCGTGAAACATTTTTCATTTTCCATAAAGAGCTACTATTGCATTCATTTTTGTGCTGCATTCAGAATTGCCGTCACATCATCCTCTGAGTGTTCTCCAAATCATTGCATACCTAAGAAGTTATTCCTAAAGATTGTCACGTGAAGCTCGTCATCTCTCAACTCCTTCGGGTTATTGTGTTGTGATGTACCCGTTATTCACAGTATTGACTTTTTTCAGAAATATGATCGGATTAACAACGTTGCGATCAAAATGGACCAGTCGTTGTATCTTGTTGGCTGCTTTTTTATGTTTCTTCGTGTCAGAGTCACGTACTATTGTACGGGATATTACCAGCAATGAGGTAACCCCTTTATTACTAATCTTAAACGTAAGTGTGTACTTAATCCAGTAGCAGATGGAAACGCTAAAAACTATTTTCAGTTACCACAATATCTAGATCTATCTGGTTTTGTACGAGTTCGAAAGGGTGAATGGGTGCCAGATTCGGTCAGTGAGATGATTAGAAGGACTATATCGAGATTTTCCTCATACTTTTCCTACCGGTAGTACTACAGGAATGTACTGTGCATCAGCATGAAGTCCTACATGCAGTCATGGATCGACTTTGTGAAGTATGTCATGAAATGTTCTATCACGAACAGGGCAATCTACGAGCACAATGCAGGTGAGCGTCATCGAATGTTTTGTACTGAGAAACAAAACAATACAAAGCGAAACAAAACAGGAATCGATTGATTCGATCGATTCTGCTGAGAAAATCATGGGACATTTTGTTTTATCATCCATATCTCCTCTATCGCGTACGTGGTATAAAGCAAGCACGCTTGCAAGGCTCCCGGTGCGTCAGTCAAGTGCTGGATTGGCTCCCGCTCAGGCCAGCCAAGCCTTCTACCCTCCGGGACGGTAAATTGGTACCAGATTCGTCTGGGAGGATAAGAACACTGACTTGTACATCGGCTGGCCTCACAAGTTGTTGTATAGGACCACATGCATTCAGTAAGTCGCTAAGATTCTGAATAGAAGTAGAACGCGAGGCGCATCCTAAGAGAATTCGATCAATAGCGAAATTTTATGCTTTATGCTCTACCCAAACGCGTCGTCATTACCTATACCCCGAGACCTATGAACTTTGAGAGTTTTTTTATAACTCTATAGTGTCCAATTTAAAAAGGATATCTCCGAGTTCTATATTTCATCGAAATTTCGCGAAAATTGGCAGATTACTGGTATTGCTTTGCTTTCGTATACTCCAAAGTTCTCTGAGTATTTCATAATGGGTTCCATTATACGTATGACGCTATTCGATTTGAAACAGCGCTGAAATTGGCTCTTGGTCTCTCAGCTCAGCTGTGTGTGTGTGTCTATTTGCCTCAATTGCTCTGGATGTAACCCGATTCAATTTAACTACTCCGAACTTGAGACTCACTCCGATTTGGTTACCGATGAACTCGCCATCAAAATGGTAGTTCACTTGATTAATCCTATTTATAGCCAAAGGGGACGTGAACTTCATCATTCCTTTATGGGGGGAACCTCAAATTTGATAGCTAATGGTCCAAGAAAAGCTATTGCTCCCGCTCAAGCGGAGCTATATGGGCGCTGAAAAGCGTCAAGCTCAAGCTTGAGCTTGGTAAGAAGGTCTTACAACTGATAATTCTTACCTTGAACAGACTGGGACTTTTTTTTTAGGATTATTCCCAGTTTCTATCTTGTGACGTGTTCTCCGATCTGACAAAAAAAAATCTGGCCAGCTCGCCTACGCTCGACGAGGAGGCGTTCGCTTGTCATCCCAAGGGGACATGTCTGTAGCAGACAACTATGCCCTGAAATTAGTCCAAAAATCGCATGACGTGATTTTCGGAGCTAAACTTCGTAGTTCGGGCTTCATAGTTTTTTTTGCGTGCTCTAGGGGAACACCAAGCGTTGCACTTTTGAATGGGTTTTTGACAACTCTGACCGCATGTCCATCATGTTTTTAAAGAGTCAAATTCATGGAAGGGTGGAGTGTCGGAAAAAAACCTCCGATTTCAATTGCTAAAGCCGACGTTTTGAGTTTCTTATCCTCCGGGACTCTGCTCTGTTGAAAACTCGTAACTAAACGCTGTTGGCACGACAAATCGCTAAGACGAGCAGGATTAATATGCCTGGTAGGACGCAATCTCGCGCCCCCTGCTGGCGCTGCTTAGCGCCTTTTCCCTTGTAAGGCCCTATAATGCTGCAACATACCGACACGGAAGCTCACCCCCTCCCCCCCCCCCACAAATGGACGACCGTACCTGATGCTCGTATTGCTTCATTTGCGAAGTAAAATATGAAGCGAAGGGATTGATATGAAGCGGCTGCGGTGCTGCATGGATATATGAGTACATACGTGCAGCCGTATCTACCGTAGCGGTTATTGGCACGATGCCTACGGGAAACTCGTCCGAAATTGCTTTCTGAGTCATGAAGAACGAAGGCTTTTCTTCGCAGGTTTTTGACCGTTTCACTTCGTTTTTTCGCCATTTTCCCCACTATATAGCGCCCTGCTAGCATTTTAGATCGAGTATCAAATTATCGTGCATATGCCTTCGAGAGTTCAGCACATTTCTGCCATGACCTTAATTTCGGTAGGCCCTGATGCCGTTCCTCTACCTGTCCTTCGTGGCTGCTTAGTTTGGGCTTCAAAGTCAAAGGTTCCCCATCGAGTGATCCTGTGACCTCCTCAGCAGGTGTCCATGTCCAGAAGGGTAATGGTTCACCTTACTGCGTACTCTCCAACCGCCTTCTCTGCTTCATTTACAACCCTCGTCGTACATACGAGCAGCCTTCAGAACACTTGTCCTCCCCATTTTTCAATGGACCTTCACTTCTGTCCACGAATTGTTTGGTTTTGCCTCTGGAATGACTTGTGTACTGTCTCGCAAGGCCGTACGCCTCAGTGAGCCTCCTGCAGCTTTTGTGGACAGGAACTTCCCCTGAGTTATTCCCCTTCTGCTAGTACTTATATACGCAATTATTCTGAATGACGATTCGTTTTACCCTCGGATTTTGGAAAACATGCTGCTCCAGGTTCCCTGGCTCCGTCTTGCGAGTCACCCGGTGTTTCTTTCGCTGAACGTGGGACAATCCCTGCTTTGTTGGGCACAGGTTCCTGGAGACCTGTGGAATCACTTTTTAATGTCCTTGGACAGAGATAGTTCTTCACTTCATGCACCTTCCGCCGCCGTATTCTGCAGTGCTTACCCTCGTCTGTTCATGAATCTATAGGAGTGCAAGAGCTGGCAGCAACCCACAGTGAGGAACCAGTTCTTTCTCCAGCTGTTCACTCCGATCCCAATGATGTAGAGCAGGCTATGTACATGGCGATGCTGCGCTTTTGCAGGGATATCCGACTCGAGACCAAGACATGACATGTCCCAAAGCGGCAACATCCCACCAAAAGCGCAATCACCTCGTTCAAGTGAACTAGACAGCCACGCCCTGCACGTTTCCGGGATGTGGACTGTACCTTGATCTCCTTGACAGAATTTGACACACAGTATTGCGTGTGCTTTGTCACTTTCCATTTATCTCCCTCTATTACTGGAGGTTACATTTTGGGTCTCCCCTTTCAGTGAAGTACACACTGCAGACTGCAAGCTCATTAGCTCAGTAATTCTCCCCTCTTTTCTCAACACTCCCATTGTTCTACCTCCGAGCACAATCTGGGCTTTTAATCTATTGTGAAAGGCAGCCACTTGTCCACGTCTTTCATGTGGTTTCACTGCTGGGGGTGTGGACCGAGTTCAAAGCTGGAGTGATATGACTGTTGTCTAAGTGACGCTAGAAGATCCCTCGGCAATAAGCTAAAGCCTAATTGCTAAATGATATCCGCAGACCATTCAGACTATTATTCAAACACTCGATGATGTTTGTATGTGATTTAAGTGTATTGAGAGCCATCGAAGAATCTCAGAGGGGGTACTAGCGTCGACATCCTTGGGAGACAGAGTGGGGGTCGGTTATTGGATCAAGTAGTTTGCATGCGAACCTCTTCTGGAGGGGGGGTGAATGTGAGAGAAATTTTAGCTAGATCTGTCCGAGTATGCGATAGAAACCGATGTAGTTGGGGGCGTGGTGATGCCTCCACCTCAGTAACCTTTCGGTAGACGGTCTCATCAATTAAAGAACACTTTCATAGCAATGCTAAGAACGCTTTTTCTGGATCAGCACTCTAAAAATGTTCATATTTTCGGAAAAGCAAGTAGAAATGGATATTCGTCAAGAAAGAAGCCTAGGGTTAAGCAATCACGTGCGCCGCATTCGTGTCAAGACCCAACTGACCTAACGTGGCATTGCTACGACTTGTCACAGCAATTTGCTAGAAATACTGTTTCGATTTTCGCGCGATTTCGCTTCTCAGATCTCCTGAGAACTACAGCTCAGTAGTGCAAGTGTGCTCGCTCAAAATTTCCCGGATCTTTCAAAAGTTGTAGAATCTTCTAAAAATTTCAATTTCACTGTACCAGAGACGATAAAGGTGGAAGTGTGACGGCCGGAGCAACCAGACTGGGTAGGGTAGGGTATAAACATTGTTGTTTATGAGTTACCCCTAGTACTTCTGTCCATGGGCCATAGGCAGGCGTGCGGACACTGGGGCGTTTTTGGGGATGACCTTATCGCGGTTCCTGCCAACTTTCCACCAATTATGTTCTCGTGCCAGCTTTTACAACTGGTAGAGAACGGATCCTCCCTGAAAGGCCTCAACGTCCGCAGCGAACAAAGCTATCTGTACGCAGTCAAAGGCTGCTGTAAAAGACGCAAATAAGTGGTTTCTCCCCTATCTCCGAGTCTGTTTTTTCCCACGCATCAATTATATAAACAATTAGAAAGCCCTTTAGATAAGCGGGAAATCATTTTATCTTTTTGTATGCTCCGAAAATTGTTTTGACCCGTCAAGCTGTGATTCAGAATGTTTCCAATACATTCCCGTCTTCGTGACATACATGGGCATTCGTGCGTTTCACATGATTTATTTGGCATTTTTTTCATGTTCTAAAAATGTCAAGATCCATTTTCGGACACCGACGACACATTTTTCATAAGAAATTCAAGAAAAAAAATAGCGACGTTAACGAGTATTGATGTAAAAAATGATGAGATGACGCGCTCCAGGTGTACTATAAGTCGCAGTGGGTTTAAAGTTATCATTCTCTATATATAAGCCTGATAATCTAGATGTAATATAAAAATTATTGAATAAGTTGAAACTGAAAAAAGAGGAAGAAAAACCCAGGATAAAGTCTTCGCCGTTGATCAATCCCTTTGTGGGATGCGGCACGCATTCTACTTCCATTCAGAATCGTAGTGGCTTATTGAATGCGATGTGGCCTATACAATGACTTGCAGAAGCCGAGCAATGCACGAGTCAGCTTTCTTATCCTCCCACACACTTTTGGTACCGACTTACCGTTTCCGGGGAGTAAGAGACTTGCTTGGGCTAGTTGGGAGCGTATCCGGGACCAGGCCGCGCTGCGCTGTGCTGTGCGCGCTGCGCTGTGAGCGTTCCACTTGCCATTACCCAAATCCGCCTCAAAAAACAATCTGGGTATTATACTAACAGGAAGAGGATATCAACTCGCCATAGCCATTCAAGATGAGATGTATACTGCTAGATACTACTTGAAAAGCTGATTTCAAATA